AGAGAATATGAAGATATGCCCCTGCCTGGGAGTACAAGCTTAGCTGTCAGAGTTCTGGAGATCCAGAGAAGGGCACGAAAGTGGGAAGCAGGTCACTGCTGCATTTTGACTTGTAATCAGCAGCTCCTCCATTACCCCCATCCTCAACCCCATTCCCTCATCACATATAAAGGCTGCCTGAGAGTTATGGGTGTTCAAAAATTCTAATTTGTTATTATGTTGAGAGTAACAGAATAATGGTTTCATTCCTGCTTTTTGAGGTTTTTCCCCATTGAGTGTTATTGGGTTAGAAAACCTTATGATCTCATTTTGGTTATCTACTGCTAAAAGCAATTCATGTGTCACAAAACATATTTTCTGGATATGTCAAACATAAAATGATCCAGTAACAAAGGAAGCAATCAGCAGTGGTTTGGGTTCTGGGTCATGGTTCTACAACCTGCCAATTCATGAAAAACTTAAATTATCCAATAATACTATTTTATCCATGTCTCCAGTTTTGTTTATAAAATGAACATTGTTTCAGCATTGGTTACAATCATTTGAAACTCAGTTTAGATACTAGACCGTGTAACTACCCTAGTAAGATTTATATTATTGTAAATAGTAACAATTCTTCTTTAGAGGTGACCATATACTTTATTTTGTCCATTATTCTTGTTAGGAGAATATATCAATAATTTCAATAATTAAGGACTTTTAAAATCCATCTTCCACATCCAAATGTGTAACAAAATGAAAAATTGAGCCATCTCCTTCATAAGATATATTTTCAGATTCTCTTCTTCCTTTTTTTTTTTCAATACTTTGTCATATTTTTCTTCTGTTTTCTAATAATAGCTCTTGAATTTTAGTTTATCCATCAGGTGGTTTTAAGATAGGACTGGCCTTAAGTTAATGAAGATATTATTTCTATTTCGAATTTTCTTTCTATAGATAAATATTTGAGAATAAACATATATTGGTCAACTCTACCCCTGATTATTTAGTAGGCTTTGGAAGTACAAAGGAAATAGTATTTTGCCCATACTCTTGAGTATGCTGAAGTGCAGTGTAGGAGTTTTCCAAAGTGCTGCCTGTGGAGGTCATGGTGGGGCACCCCACATCCTTCTCATAAGAATCTGCTGGGAGATGTGTAAGTTGGCACATAGGCCCCCACTATCTGCTGCAACTTCAGTACTATATAATATTCACACTATGGCCAAAGTCTCTCACAGATGTCCCCAGCCAATGAATAAGCACAGTGGGGTAAACAGAACTGGGTTATTCCTGCTGTATGTTGGAATCATCTGATGGGAGATCTTTGCCCTGAGGCTCGCCATGGGCCTGGACAGAAATTTCATAAGCATGTACTATAGAGTAAGGTTGCTCAACACTTCCCCCTTCTTTCTTTCTTCTTTCCCTTCTTCTTTCCTTCCTTCCTTCACACATCATTGTCTTAAGGTCTTCCATGCCTATTTCTTTGTTCTCTCCCCTTTATTTTTCAAAAATAATTCCCCCAATAAATGTTATATGTGTCTAATATCACCTTGGGATCTGCTTACTGAAAGATCCAAACTGATTCACACATGCTTTATGTAGTAAAATTAAAAGTTATAATTGAGACAAAAAGTAGGAGGGAATTATACTGAAAATCTGACATTACTGAAACTCTGAAAAAGACAGAAATTGAGAGAATGGTATAGTGTGATGTGGGAAGGAAGGACATTTGAAATTTTTGCTTTACTTTATGGGTTTGGTAAATACTCATCATCTGCATTCATAGACCTAGTTTCAACTTGGGGTCACCATATACTTATTTCTTAGCTTTGTTTATTAAGCCCTTGATCTTTTAAGATTTGTATGGGAATTTAAGATAATGTATGTAGAACACTGAGTTTAGTCAGACACCTAATACTTAACAACTGTTCAAATTATTTCTGACCAATGAATGCAATCATAATTTAAATTGTTTTCATGTAAATCAAACCCAACTATTTCTATGCTAGTACATACATATGAAAAATTGAAAGAACATAAAGAACATAGTAATAACATAGGACTGCAATGTAAAAATTTTAATATACCAAAAAAATAACCTAGGAAGTTAATTGAAATGTATATCCCTGGGCCCCCATATACAGATTTTGTTCATTATATCTGGAAAATTTTCCAGGAATTTGTCTTTTAAAGAAGCAAAAGTGTTTCTGATGCTGCTAGCATATGGAACAAATTTTGACCAAAAAAATGCTTGTATAGCATATTGAAATGTACTCATTTATTTATTTAACATGAACCCATAAATTAAATTCAATTTTTCAAGTTTGAAACTACCTGGAGTTAATATATGTATTATTATAAATAAAATATCTTAACTAGAGAAAAACATCATATTACCAAATATAATGTACTTTACTACACTAGTTATATTCTTTCATGAGTGCAATTTCTCACCATTTATAAACTCAAATAGAATGAATGTGCAAGTTACTCATTCCAAGTAGCATAAATAATTTTTAATTGTCAATATCTATTACTTAATATTTATTTAGTGGAATGTTATCATCTCTCAAAATATGAAATTCAAAAATTTGTATCATTATAATTTTACATCTCTATGTCAGTAACTAACAAATCTATTTAAGTTTTTATTTTAATATATCATTATGGAAATTTAAAGGTTTTAATATACAATGGAGAAAAGACAGTCTCTTCAGCAAGTATGTTGGGAAAACTGGACAGTAGCACAAATATCAATGAAGTTAGAACACTCCCTCACACCATACACAAAAATAAACTCAAAATGGCTTAAAGATTTAAATATAAGACAAGACATGATAAACCTCCTAGAGGAAAACATAGGCAAAACATCCTCTGACATAAATCTTAGCAATGTTCTCCTAGGGCAGTCTACCCAGGCAATAGAAATAAAAGCAGAAATTAACAAATGGGACCTAATTAAACTTATAAGCTTTTGCACAGTAAAGGAAGCCATAAGCAAAACAAAACAACAATCTATGGAATGGGAGAGAATATTTGCAAGTGATATGACTGACAAAGGTTTAATTTCCAGAATATATTAAAAGCTCATACAACTTAATAACAAAAAAACCCCAAACAACCCAATCCAAAAATGGGTAGAAGACTTAAGCAATTCTCCAATGAAGACATACAGATGGTCAATAGGCACATGAGAAAAATGTTCAATATTGCTAATTATTAGAGAAATGCAAATCAAAACAACAATGAGGTATCACCTCACATAGTCAGAATGGCCATTATTCAAAAGGCCATGAATGATAAATGCTGGAGAGGCTATGGAGAAAAGGGAATCCTCCTACACTGCTAGTGGGAATGTAGTTTGGTGAAGACATTATGAAAAACAGTATGGAGATTTCACAAAAGTCTAAAAAAAGATCTACCATATGATCCAGCAATCCTACTGCTGGGCATACATCCAGA